CCTTATTTTGACTGTTTGATGAGGTCATTGTTCCCTGAAAGTTCTGGATGCTTATTGGTGTGCAATGTTGGCTGTGATTAGGTATTCATTCCAGCTTATAATCTGGCTTGGTTTGTTCCCATCTTTCCAGAAATTCTAATCAGGTTTCTTATTTCTTTGGCCTGCATTGTCTTCCACTATTTCAGCACTAGATGGTGCCCTAATTCCAAGTTTGCGGTGAGTCCATGGTTGGTATTTTGTCACTGTTTTAGTGATTGACTATAATACCATGATACAATGCATTGCCACAGCCCTACAAGCAATAGAGCCAATTGATCATGGACTTAAACCTTCAAAACTATAAGTCAAAGTAAACCTTTCTCATTTTAAGTTGATTATCTCAGGTGTTTTGTGTTGATAAAGAAAAGTTGACCAAGAGACATCAAAAGAATAAACAACCAAAGCAAAAATAGACAAGAAGTGTGTTAAACTAAAACATTCTGCATAGCAAAAACAATTAACAAAGTAATAATACATCTTAAAGTTTGTGGAAAATACTTTTAAACTATACATCTGATAAGGGGCTTATATGCTAAATTTATAAGGAAATCATGCTATTTAATAGCACATACATGCAAAAACTATAAAATAGGTATAGAACCTGAAGAGACATTTCTCAAAAGATGATATAAATACCAAATAGGCATATTAAAAGATGCTTATCACCATTAATTACCAGAAAAATTCAAATCAATACCACAATGACACCAAAAATTCTGTTAAAAAAATCTCTAATACAAGAAAAGACAAAAGATAACAAATGGTTAAGATGCAGAGAAATGGAAATCTTTGTACACTGTTGCTGGGACTGTATATTGATATAGCCATTATAGAATTAGTATATATCTCAAACAATTAAAAAGACTTATCATATGATTCTATACCTTGATCTATATTTGAAGGAAATTAAATCAGTATGTCCAAGAGATATCTACATTCCCATGTTCTCTACAGCATTACTTACAATAGCTAAGACATGGAAATAGCAAAAGAGTCTACTGACAGATGAATGGATAAAAAAATATATGACACATACACACAACAGGATAATATTCAGCCTTAAAAAGAAGATCTTGCCTCTTGCTACATGTGGATGAAACTGGAGCTTTATGCTATAAGAGACAGTCTGGAGGAAGACTGCAGCATCGACTTACATGTTGAATCCAAGGTGGTAAAACTCGGGGGAGACCTGAAGTGTTCTACATGTGCACACTGGTAATATGCACATACATATGCATACTGGTAAATATGTAAGATGATGCTTGTTAATTAGTTCAATTGTAGAGGTTATTTCACAGTGTCCACATATATTGAAACATACAGCCATACAGCTTAAGTACATGCAATTTTTATTTGTCAATTATATATCAATAGAGATGAAAAAAAGAAGTTAGAAAAAGACAAGCAAATTAAACTCAAATGAACAGAAAGAAAGAAGCATGACAGATAAGAGCAGGAATCAATAAAATAGAAAGGAGACAAAATATATTAAATTAATGCATTAGGGTTCTCCATAGAGACTGAAACAATAGCATGTGGATAATTTTATGTGCTTCTATTTTAAAGAATTAACTCAAGCAAGTGTGGAGTCTGGCAAGTGTAAATCCAGCAGGCTGGAGACCCAGGGAAGAATAGATGTTGCAGCTGGTGAGTTTGAAAGACTAGAGTCTAGAGGTAGAATCTCATCTTCTTTCTCCTTCCTTCCTTCCTTCCTTCCTTCCTTCCTTCCTTCCTTCCTTCCTTCCTTCCTTCCTTCCTTTCTTCCTTTCTTCTTAAGAACTTCAACTGATTGAAGGAGTCCTCTCTACCCTATAGAGGTTCTTCTATTTTATTTAAATTCTTTGATTTAGATGCTAATTTCATCTAATAAGAATACCTTCAAAGGACTATCTAGACTAGCATTTGCCAAAATAGCTGGGTATTATAGCTTAAGTTGATCCATAAAATTAACCACTATAAAAAAAGCAAACAACTCTATCAAAGCTTAAATCTTTGAAATGTTTAGTAAATTTCATTAAGTCCTTAGTTAGGTTGATCAATGAAATAGAAAAAAAAATGACTGAATTAGAATGAAAGAGGAAATATCAATGAAGATACTAATGATGTTAAAAATTATAAAGTAATATTGAAAAGAATTCTATGCTAATACATTTAACGGTTTAGTGGAATTGACAAATTTGTCAAAAAGCATATTTTTCTCTTGGAACAAGGCAAAAATATCTTCTCTCAAGAATCTGTTCTTCATTGTACTGGAAATCTTAGTCCTTGCAATAAGAGAAGTAAAAGGAAGAAAACGATAAAAAATTTTACAATTGTTTCCACTTATAGATGATAGCATTACTGGTTTGGCAAATATTAAAAATCCTACAAAGCAATCACTAGAAAAAAATGTATGAATTTAATAAACTTATTAGAACATGATATTCATAAAAAATCATATAGCTGTAGGATTATCTTTTCACAAAATTGTGTAGTGAAAATTATATAACACTACTGAAAGAAATGAAGGAAGAGCCAAGTAAACAGAGAGATACACATTTGAATACTCAGCAGGCCATTACAAGTTTCAATTAGAAAACTCTGTTTCTCACTGGTCCCCTCCCCCAAAAGAAAAAAAAACCTGAAAAAAATAAACAAACAAACAAATAAAAACAAAAAGAAAACCACTCTGTTTGTCATTTCCTTGAAGCCTCAGTAGAACCCAGCTCTCACTTTTGCCTCTTTTTAGCTCATGAGGTTGTCAGAGGCTCTGCTGTGTTGTCTTTCAGCAGCTTCTCTCTGCCTGATTTTTCAGCCTTTTGACTACACCAAGAATTGATAAATGGTAGAAAATGATATGCAAAAGTTGGGCTTATCTCAGTGAACTTTTCTTTTCTTAATTTCTCAATTCCTAGCTGCTTCTGATATTTTCAAATCTCTCTCTCTCTCTCTCTCTCTCTCTCTCTCTCCCTCCCTCCCTCCCTCCCTCATTATCTATGAGAATCAAATACTTAGTCCTTATTCACTTTTCCTGGTTCTGTCAAACACTTTTGCTAGAGTATGTTCAGATGATGTCAGCCCTGATTTGGTTGTGTTGTCTTTTCAATCTGTTGACTTCTCTCATTTCCTCACTTCTGCTTTTTAACTCCATGAATTTATTTTCTGAATAATCCAGAGTATTTGTCCTGTTGAACATTCTATGCTTTGTATTTATTATTTTTCTACATTTTCACTGATGCATTATAATTGGGCATAATGATGGGATTTATGGTTACATTTTTGTACATGCACATAACGACATATAATTTGGCCAATATCATGCCCCAGAACTTCTCATTTCCTCTCTGCTTCCTACCCTTAAGTTGCTTTTCTCTACTGATCTCTCAAAGGTCATTTCTTTTTAAAAATTTTATTCTAATTAGTTATATATGACAGTAGAATGCATTCAGACACATTGTACTCAGGAGCATAACTTCTCATTCCTCTGGCTGCATATGGTGCTGAGTTACATGGGTAGTGTAATCATACATGTATATAGGGTAATGATGCCTGTTGCATTCTACTGTCCTTCCCATCTCCACTGCCCCACCCCTCCTCTCAGTCCCCTCTGCACAATCCAAAGTTTCTTCATTCTTCCCTACCCCTTCTCCCACTGTGGATAAGCATTCACTTATCAGAGAAAACATTTAGCCTTTGGTTTTTTGGGATGGGCTTATTTCCCTTAGCATGCTATTCTCTAGTTCCATCCATTTACCTGCAAATGATACAATTTCATTCTTCTTTAAGGTTGGGTAATATTACATTGTGTATATGTACCACATTTTTTAATCCATTCATCTTTTGAAGGGCATCTAGGTTGGTTCTACTGTTTAACTATTGTGAATTGAGCTGCTATAAACATTGATGTGGCTATTTCACTGTAGTATGCTGATTTTAAGCCCCTTGGGTATAAACTGAGGAGTGAGATAGCTGGGTCAAATGGTGGTTTGATTCCAAGTTTTCTGAGGAAATATCCATATATCCATATATCCATACTAGTTTCCAGAGTGACTGTACCAATTTTCAGTCCCACCAGCAATGTATGAGTGTACCTTTTCCCCCAACTCAAAAATCTTAACATAAATAAATAAATAAATAAATAAATAAAAATAATGCAATCAATAAATGGGTTAAGGGACTGAGAGACACTCCACAGAAGAAGAAATATAACTGATCAATAAACATATGAAAAAATGTTCATCACCATAGCAATTAGAGAAATGCAAATAAAAACTACTCTAAGATTTCATCTCACTCCATCAGAATGTCAATTATCAAGAACACAAGCAATAATAAGTGTTGATGAGAATGTGGGCAAAAAGGTACACTCAAAGGTCATTTCTTACAGCAGTTCAGCCTCTCAATGCTGTTGGAGTGTGATGTGATTCAATTGTATTTTATTTAGTAATGATCCGGGGAAAGTCACTGTGTCAATTTTTAGGGGCTGTCATACCACAGGTCACCAGACAGTAACTTTAACAACAGACATTTATTTTATCAGTTATGGAGGCCAGATATGAAGATATTAACTGGAAGGGTTTCTTCTGAGTATTTTCACCTGGGCTTATAGATTGCGATTTTCTACCTCTGTGGTCTAACACCCAGGGTCTTTTGTGCTTCTTTGCATTATTTTCTCCTATTATAAAAAGTTTGAGAGACATATTTCTGAGAGTGACTTTGAACTTGTGTTCCTCTGACTTGCTGGAATTATAGGTGTGCACCACCAATCTCTGTCAGGAAAAAAACCGTAGGCTGAGATAGGAGGATCACAAGTTCAAAGCCAGCCTCAGCAAAGCCGAAGCACTGAGCAACTCAGTGAGACTCTGTCTCTAAATAAAATACAAAAATAAAGCTGGGGATGTGGCTCAGTGGTCGAGTGCCCCTAAATCCAATCCCTAGTAACAAACAAACAAACAAATAAACAAAAACTGTAGGTATGGTTTTTACTGGTGATGGAAATCTGGGTTTCCTCTGAGGGCCTGAAGCACATGTACAAAATATCCTTTTTGTCAGGTTGACTTAGGTCATTGCTCTGTGGGTCCACAGGAATATCTTTCAATCATGGATGATAACTTTAATGGCCTCCAAGATTATTATCCTCATTTCTCAGGACTGAGAACTCCAGATTTGAAGAAAATGAGTTATAGTATGACATCTTCAAAGGTCAAAAATCAGAATGAGCAGGTTTTGACAATATCCAAACTCTGTACTAACAAAATGAATGAAGCTCAGCTTTTGGAATAATAAACTTTTTGTTTTCTCCTCTGGTGAGAATTCTTGGGTTCGATGAGAAAACATATCATTTCCTGGTTTTCAGGATGCCCAGCATTCTCCCGTGGTTCTTTCAGTACCTGTATAGCACAGAAACCTCAAGCTCCAGAGTGTAGGAGAGGAGGTCCAGAAATGGATCTGAGGAATCCATGCTTTGTATTTATGTCATTGAATTCATGTAGTGTTCTCACATATTTCTCTCTGCTATAGATTTCCTATAGACTGGCATTAGAGAGCTTTTATTAATCAGGCTCATTTTTATACTTTGTGTTATATTTTTTCATATTTCCTCCATGTGATATAAATATTGACCAATGTGTTAAGGTATTGTCAGCCTATCTTTTTCTTATAAGTTTTTTTTCTGAAAACTGTTAATCAATCATCTTAGTGTCTATTGATTTCTCCTTTAGATCCATTAATTTATTATGAATTGCAAAATGTTGATTTTTTTTTAGTTCTATAGTTCTCATTGCAATGAGTATCTTGAATTTCTTTTTTTTTAAATTTTTTATTTTGAGAGAGGGTCTCACTAAGTTACGAGGCTGGCTCAGATTTGCCATCCTCTTGCCTCCCCTCCTGAGTCATGGAGATTATGACCTTCGTTTCTTTCTTTTTAAAAAATATTTTGTTAGTTGTAGTTGGACAAAATGGCTTTATTTTGTTTATTTTTATGTGGTGCTGAGGATTGAACCCAGCACCTCACACGTGCTAGGCGAGTGTTCTGCCACTGAGCCACAAACCCAGCCCCAGTATCTTGAATTTCTTTACAAATATTTTTCTTCATCAACAATGTATTTACCTCCTCTCAAAATTATCATATAGGAAGGATATAATACATTACTTGGGTCTTTCTTTTTTGTCATCAAGTTTCAGAATATTTAGTAGACATATTAATTACTTCCAAAGGATGGAAATATACTATATTTTATTTTGAGAATTATTGTGATTTTTATGGATACTTTTATGTACTGAGGCTTCAATCTGTTAAACTCATCATTCTTATTATTTATGCTTATATGGTTTCATTTCTGGTTAACTATTAACTGTTGAAGTTGGCTCCTGTGTTTTTTTGACATGATCCCAATAGTTTTATTTAGCTTCCTTTCATTGAGACCTGAAAAAAAATGTTCCAGAACAATCATGTGTGTTTCTGCTTCAGATCTATAATGAATTATTTATCTAAGAATCCCTGATTCTTCTTAGTGGAAAATAGTATTTGAATGCTGCAAAAGGCCATTAGGTGAATTCATTGCTACCGGGCTGTCATTGCTTCAAGGTATTTTCAGTGGATAGAGTTAAAAAATACTTATATTATTAGTAGAAGAAAACTAAGTTAATACTTCATATTTCTAATCCAAATAAGAAAAGATTATTTGGTGTTTTAATTAGTATCTTCTTTAATGCTGACAATTTTGACTCTTATTGCTATTAATACAATTACTTACTTTATCTCAAAATATTTCTATAACAGTAAAACTAATATTTTTACTAGTAGCAAGTAAGAAGTTTTGGTTCTTTTTATGTTTTCCATTCTCAGGATATATTCCACATCACTTTGACTTTGTCTTAGTGTCTAATGAAATGATTATTTTCTCTGATGTTATACTACCCAATTAAAAATGCCACTAAATTACTTGTTTTGGTTTAAATGTGATTTTTTTTTGAGATTGAAGTTTCTTTTCCTGTTGATTTAATTTAATTTTAAGTATATAGAAAATAGTTATATGATTCCAAAGCCAAACCATAAGATAAGATGTATTCAGAAAACCTGGCTTTTATCCCTGTGCCTTGCCCTGTTTCTTCATCCTGCCAAAAGAAAACTTTTTGTTGTTTCTCATGTTCTATTTAAAATGCTTACTTAAATATTTATACATCTACATATACATATAAATCTAATATATATGTATCTCCATTTTAACATAGAAATCAGCATTGTAGAGACACTCTTTGGCACATTATTGTTTTTCACTTATGAAATATCTTGTCTATTATTCCAGAAAAGTATTTGGAGATATTAGTTGCTTAAAACTGCATTAATATATAATTTATGTGAGGAGTTCATTTTTACTGATCTTATCTTAGGTATTTTTCATTTCTTGCTATTAAAAACAACATCTCAATGCTTTAAGCCTTGTGGTTTGTTGTTTTGTATTTTTGCTAATATATCCTTAGACGATTTCCAGATAAAAAATAAATGGAATGTTAATTTTTCTAGGTAGTGCTAAGAGATTTTACCTTTTTTTTTCACCAACAAGGCATGAGTACCTCTTTATAGGTTCATCAACAGGTTGTTTTATCACATACTTAGGTCAGATATTTGATACCATATAGACCAGATCCGACATTTAAATTGTAGGAGTTCTGTGTTTGGGATTGGGTCTCTGATACTCTTCGTAATTGTGGCATGCTTGGTGGCTAGGAAGTTTCTGTGCAAAGGCAGAATGCCTGGCTGCTAGGAAGTTTCTGTGCAAAGGCAGAATGCCTGGCTACTGGGAAACTTCCGTGTCAAAAACACGGGATGCCTGGCCGCTGTAGCAATGTTCTTCACCAGGGTTTGACCTTGACCTTGGGCACATAGCTCCTGGGAATAAAGGAACTTGCTTGCTTGATAATTACAATGTTTCATCAAGCTCTGGTGCTCCTGGAGCTGCCCGCCTAATAGTAACTTCAGACAATGGACTTTCTTGAGAACTGCACAAAGCTCCTAATATGGCATATTGTAACTGTGAAATATAACTGCAGCATAAGCAACTTTACTGATACTCTAAACAATAGTAATACTGTGGTTTTGGTTGATGACCTAATGTAACCTGTTAGTATAAATAAATGTGGCCGCTTGGACAAGGAGCCACTCTGCCACCTTCCCTGCCCCTGCACCTTGTCTCTGTATCTCCTTTCTTTGAGATTCTTTACATTAAGTATCACTGTACTTTGCATATATCTCAACCTAAGAGAGCGTGAACATTTTATCATGTATTTAAAGATGGTGTTCATCTTTTTAAGTATGAACTGTAAGTTTATATTAGTTGTCCATTTTTCTATTAGTTTGTTAGATTTTTGGAAGTTCTTTACATATTAGAACTGTTACTCCTTGTGATGTGAATTGCAAATACCTTCTCATTATCTTCTTATTTTTTTAGATATTTTTATCAATCATTAAAAACTAATTCTACATAGTTAGTAGTATTAATCTTTATCACATTTACAGATTATAAAGACACTAATTCATATTTTCTTTTAATATTTGAACTGTTTTTTCCCCATCTTGCTATACAATTTTTTTCACTGTCGGTTTAATGGGTCCTTCATTTTCTCATTGATTTGAAATACTGTCATTAACATATACTAATTTTCTTAGGTGTTTTAAATATGCTTATAAATCTCATCTTTTTTTTTCCTGGAGTAGAAATAATCTAACCCTTTTTCCTTATCTATTAATTCAAGCCAAACTTTGACAATACATTCCTTTTTCCTTAGGATTCTCACTGGGAAGAGGAGAGAGTTGTCAGAATCATTATTTAAGTGTCTTTTTTCGACTGATATTCTTATCTTCTTCCATCCTGATTGTTTAGAGTGCCTTCTGAGGATGGCAAAGTCTGAGTGCAGGAGTGCACACAAAAATGTACACACTGGCACATAAACACACATCCTTCCTCTTAGGACTGCTGTGCTCTCAATGAACATTTCTAAGACTAGAACATATTGCATCCCTCAGTTGTGTCAGGGAAAACATAATGGTTGAGAACTTTTGACTTTGTTGATATACAGGGTTTATATAATAATTATAAAATTACTTAATATTTATTGAGTGATGAATATGCTGCAAATTGTGTTATCTGATATATATTTATTATTATTTATTTATTATTTCATTCTTTCTCTCTCTCTCTTTTTTTTTTTAGTACTGGGGATTGAACTCAGGAGCACTGGCTGGACCACTAAGCCATATCCCCAGCCCTATTTTGTATTTTCCTTCTTTCTTTTTTTTGTGGTGCTGGGGATTGAACTAGGACCCTGTGCATGCAAGGCAAGCACTTTACCAACTGAGCTATATCCCCAGCCCTTGTATTTTATTTAGAGACAGTGTCTCACTGAGTTGCTTAGTGCCTCACCATTGATGAGGCTGGCTTTGAACTTGTGATTCTCCTCTCTTAGTCTCCAGAGCTGCTGGGATTACAGGCATGTGCTGTTGTGCCCAGCTCATTATCTCTTATAATAACCACATGCAACAAGTATTATTATCTCTTTGTTTTAAAATATGGAAACTAAAGATACAATAGCTAAATAATGTACCTTAAGACATGGTTAGTAAAAGGTAAGTAGAGTTAACCCTAGTTATTTTTTTTACTTTCAAAAGCTAATCATGAAAAAAGGATACAGGTGGATTCAAGCAATACACTTCATGCCAACATACCGAGACACTGGATCCCTTTAAATTTTTTTTGTTGCTTATAAGGTGTTGTCATATACTACAGGATATCAAGTATCTTCAAGGTAAATTTCATGTTGGTAGCCTCATTCTTCCTATCACTCTCTGATAATTCACTCATAGAGTAAGGATTGTTATAGTGCAGGAAGCAAACTATAAATTGTTAGCCTCTTACAATTTTTAACCTTTTAAAAATTTACATAAATCCATATCACTAAGCATACCTTCTTGAGATAGTCATGTGGTAATTCCTTTATTGATGTTTTTAGTGTAAATGAGACAAATAAAATTGAAAAATATTTGTATAAGCCAGGCTAGTTTTCATCTTGACCTCTATTTAACACAAAATTACCCATGAAGGCTCCCAGATACTAATGGATTTAAGCCTTCCATTGTAAAAATTTGTAATGTCTTTTAATTTTGCATTTGTATCCAAAAATAAAGCACACAAAGATGTTGAAAGCTAAATTGATGCAGAATATGTGTTTAACAATTATTAAATGATATGAGAATGGAAGTAACAATTTTCGTGAGCTTTTCTAAATAAATTACAAAATTTACTATATATTATGTCATTATATCAAATCAAACTCTCAGTTACAGAAGACCTAAGATGTTATCCCTGAATTCCCATTCCATTTTCCCAGCCGTCTCATTGCAGTCTTCATGTCTTTGTTTCTCAGTGTGTATATAATTGGGTTCAAGAGAGGAGTGACCACAGAATAAAACACAGCAAGGAATTTATCTAATGACTTGACAGGGAATGGCCAGGCATAAATGAAGATGCATGGTCCAAAAAACAAAAGAACTACTGTGATGTGAGCAGTCAAAGTGGACAAAGCCTTGGATGATCTATCCGAAGGGCGACGCTGGATGGTCATTAGGATGATGGTGTAGGAGATGATTAGGAGAACAAAAGAACACACAGTGAGCACACCACTGTTAGCAATGACCATTATATCCAACCTGTAAATGTCTGTACAGGCAAGTTTGATTACCCGAGGGAGGTCACAGTAAAAGCTATCCACCTCATTGGGACCACAGAAGGGTAAGTTCACTGCAAAGGCCAACTGGCTCACTGAGTGAAGGAAACCAATCCCCCATGCAGCGGCTACAATGCCAACGCACACATTGCCACACATAATTGTAGTGTAACGTAGGGGTTTACAGATTGCTGTATATCTATCAAAGGCCATGGCGATGAGGATCACCAACTCACTCCCACCAAAGAGGTGAAGAAGAAATATCTGTGCCAGACAGCCCTTGAAAGAGATGACTTTGCGTGTTCTGAAAAAGTCAGCAATCATCTTGGGGGCTGTGACTGAAGACAGAGACAGATCAATGAGTGAGAGGTTGGCCAGCAAGAAGTACATGGGGGAGTGAAGGTGTGAGTCCGAAGCCACTGTTATGATAATAAGAAGGTTTCCAAACACAATTCCTACATAGAAAACAAAGAAGAACAGAAACAGGAAAATCTGGAGTTCCTGAGAATTGGAGAGTCCAAGGAAAATGAACTCAGTCACCACAGAGTGATTTGCTTCACTTATTGATTCATTCCAGGAGATGGTCTCTACAATTCCCTTGGAGAAGAGAATGAAAAGGAAATCAGAATTGTTATATTCAATCAAAAACCTCATTCTGTGCACTCTCCTCACTCATAGAATGAGTGGTTCACTACATAAAAGTTTTATAATTTAAAATCTAAAGTTAGAACTTTATCTCACACCACTTCCCTGGTTATCCCTTATAGTTAGGTTATCTAAGTCTTTACATTATCTCCACTCATATTGCTTATTTCTAATAAAATACGAGTGACTCTGTTACCCTCTCTGCCAGGTTGTCTGTACTGTTACCTACATTCATCTCATTTCCTCTCAACTTCAAAAACTGTTCAAATTCTCTAGCACGTATTTTCCATCACTTGATGATATTAAAGTTTGGAAGAAAAAGACATATGTTAAAATAAAATGCATGATGAAAAATAGAACAAAAAAGTGAAAATATCAAGATATAAAATTTTAAAAGTGAGAGAGGATAAAAGGATGGGGTATCCAAAGGTGGAGCAAGAAAGAAGGAAATGTGATCAAGCTTACATGAGAGAAAGTGTGAAATTTAATGGGAGATCACATTCAAAAGGGATTCTGGAAAACATTGAAGAGATATTGAAGATTTATGAACAACTGTTTAGTAAATTAACTCCTCTCAACGTGAACTGAAATGGGGGAGACTGGAAGTAAAACTGATTGTTTTAAGCCCAATCATAGGTAATAAGTACAGGTTGTGGTTGTGTGAACAGAAACAAGGTGGGAAGATTTGTGAGTGTCCACCAAGCAATACCTTAGGGTAGGTAAGATGGGAGCTTCTGTGCCAGGAGGCCTGGATTCCAGTCCAGGCTGTATCTATTATGTTGCTGAATGACCTTGGACAAGCCATGTAGATGCTTGGGGTCATCTGGACAAGGCTTGCTAAAAGGATTAGATGTGGCCATGAATATAAATTTTCTATCATATAGTAACTGGTCAATATATAGAAGTCATTGTTCAGGGAAAATAATAGAAAATGTCAACAGTAAGTAGGAGATGATAAAATATTATTCATATATTTTCATTTTGAGCATTGTGATGGATTTAACCTTGATAATAATTACAATAACTTTAAAGTAGCAATGTTTAACATAAGGATCACTTTTAGGAGTAGAAATACATTTGGAAATGAGGTAAAGAATAATGGTAGTCATCTATACACAAAGAGGAGCTGTTGGGGCATCTTTGTAAGTTGTTCTCTCCTAGGTTAGAGGTCAAATGGTGATTCTTGGACATGATTTGAGAGAGTCATTTCAATTACATATCTAGGAGAGAAAATAAATACTGTTTCAAGAAGTATTGCAGTAAAGTAGGGAGTGTAATGTATCCTGTATGTGAAAAATAGCCCTGAGAATACTTGTCAGATTGGGTGGAAGTAAAATGTAAAAGAGGTAAATGGACAGACATGAAGATATACAAAGTCACACTTGCCAAATTTCTCAGAGAAATACTATTATTTATTTGGATATTTATTTAATCGTAGTTTTCCTTTGTCCTTGGAAATTACACTTTCCAATATCCTGAATTCTATTTCTTAGTCCTACTCACTCAAACAGCAAATTACTGTTTACAAAGTCCAATAAAGATTTAATAATTCTAATTTCCCCAAGCATAGAGAACCTAATGATAAATAAGTCATGAATACTCGTTTTAGTTTCCTTCTGCTAACACAATAATAAATAAAATTGTACTAATTAATGACAATACAAGTGGTAGAATTTCTGATTGTGAGATCATTTCTGATGTGATGAATTGTTTGGGGTTTTTTTTAGAGTCAAAATATGCAATTTAGAATTGACTTTAGTTTTTATTGATGTGAAACTCAATTAATAGATTGAAAAGTGCATACTTGAAATTATGTCTCAATGAGAGATATGCCAAGGATGGTTGGCCCAAGGTTTCTCCTGTGTGGCAAAAATATTTTCTATCATAATAGTAAGAATTCAGGAATGCTATTCTCCAACAAAAGAAATTTCTTACTTATTTAAAACTTCACATACCCTAAGCTTATGCTGCTCCGACTAGAGCAATAATAGGGGACTCTCAGCTGTAGGAGACCCTTCACCATAATCCTTTCAAAGCTCATTTATGACTCTTCAAAAGTGATTCATGAAGTTTTATTTTTTATTTATTTTTTAAATTGTTTTACTTAGTTACACATGACAGTACAATGATCTTGACATACATTTGAATCAGATAGGATATACTTTCTCATTTTTCTAAGTATACATGTTGCAGAATCACATTGGTCATGCAGTTTTAGAAGCAGTGTACTGATTGTAACGGTAAGCTAATTGGAGGAAGTTTTGGAATCTTAATTTTTAAAATAAAACTGATTATGTTGATCACTAGCCACATCTAAAAATGAAAATCTTCCCCCCATTAGAACTTTTTTTTTCTTAAATTTTTTTTACCCTTATTTATATATAAATACCATATGTCTTTATAAGGCGTCATTGAGATGGACGTCAGGAACTTGGTTTCTAGTACAAATTCACTGCGTGATCTTGGACATGGCTTTCAAAATCTTTGATTCTTAGTTTTTGTGTTTTAAAAATGAATTCAGATTCCAGCTCCCGGAACTGAGCCCGCGGGGACTGCTTCTTGGAGCTTACACTTATAGGAGCTTACACCGAGCACAGAGCGGCCGAGTTCCGGCTCCCGGAACCGTCCCGGAACCGCCCTGGCTCAGGGCTGCGGAGCCCGCGGAGGCTGCTTCTTGGACCCTGCTACTATCAGAGCATACACCAAACACTAAGTGGCCGAATTCCGGCTCCCGGAACTGAGCCCGCGGGGGCTGCTTCTTGGAGCCTACACTTATAGGAGCTTACACCGAGCACGGAGCGGCCGAGTTCCGGCTCCCGGAACTTCCCTGGACCGGGGCTAGGAGCCCGCGGAAACTGTGTCTCGGTCCGGGTCCTGCTGAGGGCAGGTCAGGACTCACCCATTGCTTGGGTTGCCTGGCAAGGGGAACGAAATGCTGCCATTCGCATAGGATACCAACATGGCAGAGATCTGATGTCAGCAGAAAGCGGTGGAGGAGAGATCTTCATCAATACCAGCGGTGACATAAGCAGTTGGTCTCCTGGTAAGGGGGGTGAGGCTCAGTCACCCGAGTCTCCTCAATTTGTCCTCGAGCCAGAGGGAAGGAGCCGGGCCGCCGCCAGCCCCCGGAGCAGGCCCAGCGGCTCGCCAGTGTGGTGACCGCGTGACCCCAATTGGAGAGGGGGCGGAGCGGAGCCGCCACCCACACCCGCCAGGTGGGCAGACCCACGACCCAGTAGTACATGGGCGTGGTAGGAGGGGCAGGGCAGAGCCGCCCTTCGCGCTTGCAAGGTAAACAGACCTGTGACAGCCTGGCGGGTCAGGCCCAGTGGCCTGCCAGTGTGGTACACACGTCACCCCAACTCGAGTAGGGGCAGAGCAGATCCTTCTCCCACGCCCGGATCAGGCCCTGCCGGTGTGGTGGTCACGTGACCCCAATTGGAGTGGGGGTGGAGCGGAACCGCCACCCGTGCCCGCAGGGTGAGCAGACCAGTGATCAACCTGCAGATCAGGCCCAGGGGTCCGCAGGCGTGGTAGGAGGGGCAGGGCAGATCCGCCGCCCGCGCCTTCAAGGTAGGCAGACCTACAACAGACCGGCGGATCAGGCCCAGGAGCCTGCCGGCGGGGTACAAACACCACCCTAATTGGAGTAGTGACAGAGCAGAGTCGCCTACCTTGCCAGGAACAGACCCAGCATCCTGCAGGCGGGGTAGTCACGACACCCCAATTGGAGTAGGGGCAAAGCAGAGCCTCCACTCGTGCCCGAAAGGTGGGCAGATCTGCGACCGACCAGCAGGACAGGCCCAGTGGCCTGCTGGTACGACAGACACGTCACCCCAATTGGAGTAGGGGCAGAACAGAGCCGCCACCAGCTCCCAGAACAGGCCCAGTGACCTGCCGGCGTGGTAGCCACGACACCCCAATTGGAATAAGGAGAGAGCAGAGCCGCCGCCCGCACCTGCAGGAAAGATACGCAAGCAGTATGAAAAGACAAGGAAAGAAAGGACCACAAGCAATGCAGGTCAACGCAACTTTAGAAGAGGTAACAGCTGCAGCAGATGGAATGTCAGATAAAGAATTCAGGATATACATGCTTCAGATGATCTGGAGTATCAAGGAAGACATTAAACAGCAAAATCAGACAATGAAAGATCACTTCGACAACGAATTACGCAAACAAATCCAGGAAGCAAAGGATCAACTATACAGGGAGATAGAGGTTATAAAAAACAAGCAATCAGAAATCCTAGAAATGCAGGAAGCAATAAACCAACTTAAAAACTCAATGGAGAATACTACCAACAGAGTAGAACACTTAGAAGATAGAACATCAGACAATGAAGACAAAGTATTTCAACTGGAAAAGAACATAGACAGCTCAGCAAGACTGTTAAGAAACCATGAGCAGAACATCCAAGAAATATGGGATAACATTAAGAGACCAAACTTAAGAGTCATTGGGATACAGGAAGGTACAGAGCTCCAAACCAAAGGAATGAGCAGTCTATTCCATGAAATAATACAAGAAAACTTCCCAGACTTGAAGAATGAGACAGAATCCCAAATCCTAGAAGCCTACAGGACGCCGAATGTGCAAAATCATAAGAGATCCACACCTAGACACATTATAATGAAGATGCCCAACATACAGAATAAGGAGAGAATTTTAAAAGCTACAAGAGAAAGGAAGCAGATTACATTTAGGGGCAAGCCAATCAGGATAACAGCTGATCTTTCAACACAGACTCTGAAAGCTAGAAGATCCTGGAATAACATATTTCAAACACTGAAAGATAATGGGTTCCAACCAAGAATTGTGTATCCAGCGAAATTAAGCTTCAGGATGGAGAATGAAATTAAAACCTTCCACGATAAACAAAAGTTTAAAGAATTTGCAGCTAGAAAACCATCTCTTCAAAACATCCTAGCCAAAGTATTACAGGAAGAGGAAATGGAAAATAACAATGAAAACCAACAGTGGGAGGTAGGACAGTAAAGGGGGGGGGGAAACAATCAAAGAGGAAAACAAACAATGTTTAGTAACAGAAATAAACAAATATGGCTGGAAGAACAACCCATATCTCAATAATAACCCTAAATGTTAATGGCTTAAACTCACCAATTAAGAGACACAGGCTAGTAGAATGGATCACAAAACAAGACCCAACAATATGCTGCCTACAGGAGACGCATCTGATAGGGAAAGACATACATAGGCTGAAGGTGAAAGGTTGGGAAAAATCATATCACTCATATGGACTTCGGAAACAAGCAGGCGTGTCCATACTCATATCAAATAAAATAGATTTCAAGCCAAAGTTAATCAAAAGAGATAAAGAGGGACACTACATACTGCTTAAGGGAACCATACACCAACAAGACATCACAATCATAAATATTTATGCCCCAAACAATGGTGCAGCTATGTTCGTCAAACAAACTCTTCTCAAGTTCAAGAGTCTAATAGACCACCACACCATAATCATGGGAGACTTCAACACACCTCTCTCGCCACTGGACAGATCTTCCAAACAAAAGTTGAATAAGGAAACTATAGAACTCAATAACACTATTAATAACCTAGACCTAATTGACATATATAGAGTATACCACCCAACATCAAGCAGTTACACTTTTTTCTCAGCAGCACATGGATCCTTCTCAAAAATAGATCATATATTATGTCACAGGGCAACTCTTAGACAATATAAAGGAGTAGAGATAATACCATGCATCTTATCTGATCATAATGGAATGAAACTGAAAATCAACGATAAAAGAAGGAAGGAAAAAGCATACATCAATTGGAGAATGAACAATAGGTTACTGAATGATCAATGGGTTATAGAAGACATCAAGGAGGAAATTAAAAAATTCTTAGAGATAAATGAAAACACAGACACAACATATCGGAATCTATGGGACACATTGAAAGCAGTTCTAAGAGGAAAATTCATTGCTTGGAGTTCATTCCTTAAAAAAAGAAAAAACCAACAAATAAATGATCTCATACTTCATCTCAAAATCCTTGAAAAAGAAGAGCAAAACAACAGCAAAAGAAGTAGAAGGCAAGAAATAATTAAAATCAGAGCTGAAATTAATGAAATCGAAACAAAAGAAACAATTGAAAAAATTGACAAAACTAAAAGTTGGTTCTTTGAAAAAATAAACAAAATCGACAGACCCTTAGCGATGCTAGTGAAGAGAAGAAGAGAGAGAACTCAAATTACTAGCATACGGGATGAAAAAGGCAATATCACAACAGACACTTCAGAAATACAGAAGATAATCAAAAACTATTTTGAATCCTTATACTCCAATAAATTAGAAGATAGTGAAGGCATAGATAAATTTCTTAAGTCATATGATCTGCCCAGATTGAGTCAGGAGGATATAGAAAACCTAAACAGACCAATATCAATTGAGGAGATAGAAGAAACCATCAAAAGACTACCAACTAAGAAAAGCCCAGGTCCCGATGGGTATACAGCAGAATTTTACAAAACCTTTAAAGAAGAACTAATACCAATACTTTTCAAGCTACTTCAGGAAATAGAAAAGGAGGGAGAACTTCCAAATTCATTCTACGAGGCCAACATCACCCTGATACCTAAACCAGACAAAGACACTTCAAAGAAAGAAAACTACAGACCAATATCTCTAATGAACCTAGATGCAAAAATCCTCAATAAAATTCTGGCGAATCGGATACAAAAACATATCAAAAAAATTGTACACCATGATCAAGTAGGATTCATCCCTGGGATGCAAGGCTGGTTCAATATACGGAAATCAATAAATGTTATTCACCACATCAATAGACTTAAAAATAAGAACCATATGATCATCTCGATAGATGCGGAAAAAGCATTTGACAAAGTACAGCATCCCTTTATGTTCAAAACTCTAGAAAAACTAGGGATAACAGGAACATACCTCAATATTGTAAAAGCAATCTATGCTAAGCCTCAGGCTAGCATTATTCTGAATGGAGAAAAACTGAAGGCATTCCCTCTAAAATCTGGAACAAGACAGGGATGCCCTCTCTCTCCACTTCTCTTCAACATAGTTCTCGAAACACTGGCCAGAGCAATTAGACAGACGAAAGAAATTAAAGGCATAAAAATAGGAAAAGAAGAAATTAAATTATCACTATTTGCAGATGATATGATTCTATATCTAGCAGACCCAAAAGGCTCTACAAAGAAACTATTAGAGCTAATAAATGAATTCAGCAAAGTGGCAGGATTTAAAATCAACACGCATAAATCAAAGGCATTCCTGTATATCAGCGACAAATCCTCTGAAATGGAAATGAGGACAACCACTCCATTCAAAATATCTTCAAAAAAAATAAAATACTTGGGAATCAACCTAACAAAAGAGGTGAAAGACTTATACAATGAAAACTACAGAACCCTAAAGAGAGAAATAGAAGAAGATCTTAGAAGATGGAAAAATATACCCTGTTCATGGATAGGCAGAACTAACATCATCAAAATGGCGATATTACCAAAAGTTCTCTATAGGTTTAATGCAATGCCAATCAAAATCCCAATGGCATTTCTTGTAGAAATAGAGAAAGCAATCATGAAATTCATATGGAAAAATAAAAGACCCAGAATAGCAAAAACAATGCTAAGCAAGAAGTGTGAATCAGGCGGTATAGCGATACCAGACTTCAAACTATACTACAGAGCAATAGTAACAAAAACAGCATGGTACTGGTACCAAAACAGGCGTGTGGACCAATGGTACAGAATAGAGGACACAGAAACCAATCCACAAAACTACAACTATCTTATATTTGATAAAGGGGCTAAAAGCATGCAATGGAGGAAGGATAGCATCTTCAACAAATGGTGCTGGGAAAACTGGAAATCCATATGCAACAAAATGAAACTGAATCCCTTTCTCTCGCCATGCACAAAAGTGAATTCAAAATGGATCAAGGAACTTGATATCAAATCAGAGACGCGCCGTCTGATAGAAGAAAAAGTTGGCTACGATCTACAGTCGGTGGGGTCGGGCTCCAAATTCCTCAATAGGACACCCATAGCACAAAAGTTAATAACGAGAATCAACAAATGGGACTTACTCAAACTAAGAAGTTTTTTCTCAGCAAAAGAAACAATAAGAGAGGTAAATAGGGAGCCTACATCCTGGGAACAAATCTTTACTCCTCACACTTCAGATAGAGCCCTAATATCCAGAGTATACAAAGAACTCAAAAAATTAGACAATAAGAGAACAAACAACCCAATCAACAAATGGGCCAAGGACCTGAACAGACACTTCACAGAGGAGGACATACAGTCAATCAACAAGTACATGAAAAAATGCTCAACATCTCTAGCTGTCAGAGAAATGCAAATCAAAACCACCCTAAGATACCATCTCACTCCAGTAAGATGGGCAGCCATTAGGAAGTCAAACAACAACAAGTGCTGGCGAGGATGTGGGGAAAAGGGTACACTTGTACATTGCTGGTGGGACTGCAGATTGGTGCAGCCAATTTGGAAAGCAGTATGGAGATTTCTTGGAAAGCTGGGAATGGAGCCACCATTTGACCCAGCTATTCCCCTTCTTGGTCTATTCCCTAAAGACCTAAAAAGAGCATGCTACAGGGACACTGCTACATCGATGTTCATAGCAGCACAGTTCACAATAGCAAGACTGTGGAACCAACCTAGATGCCCTTCAATAGACGAATGGATAAAAAAAATGTGGCATTTATACACAATGGAGTATTACTCTGCATTAAAAAATGACAAAATCATAGAATTTACAGGGAAATGGATGGCATTAGAGCAGATTATGCTAAGTGAAGCTAGCCAATCCCTAAAAAACAAATGCCAAATGTCTTCTTTGATATAAGGAAAGTAACTAAGAACAGAGTAGGGACGAAGAACAGGAGAAGAAGATTAACATTTAACAGGGATGAGAGGTGGGAGGGAAAGGGAGAGAGAAGGTAAATTGCACGGTAATGGAAGGAGACCCTCAGGGTTATAAAGTGGAGGGGGTAGAGAGAGAGGAGGGGAGGGGAGGGGAGAGGTGGGGAGGGGGGAGGGTGGATGATGGGAAAGGCAGCGGAGCACAACAGACACTAGTATGGCAATTTGTAAATCAATGGATGTGTAACTGATGTGAATCTGCAATCTGTGTATGGGGTGAAGGTGGGAGTTCATAACCCACTAGAATCAAAGTGTGGAATATGATATGTCAAGAAATTTGTAATGTTTTGAACAACCCACAATAAAAAATTAAAAAAAAAAAAAAAATAAAATAAAAATGAATTCAGTCAATCAAAAGCTGTCAAAATCTTTCCCCCTTTAATAGTATGATTTGCACCTTTATATGAAAGAAATGTCCCAAACCAACTTTCATTGGGATTATAAGGATCTGGGCAACAAAACAAAACAAAACAAAACAAAAACAAAAACAAAATATAACACTATATTTGGGGAAAATAAGGCTAGGATCACCAAGTAAGGAGGGTAGAATACAATAGCCCAGAAAATTCAGGAGAAGGACTCAACAATTGCTGCCAGTAGAACACTAAATATAATAAGGGTTATCTTTTCTTAAAGTTTTCACATTATTTCTTCTAAGAATTTAAGCCAACCCTACACAATCCTTCCATTTTCCTGAAAATAAACACCTGATTAAATTCTATAAAATGAATTTCTACAAATAGAAGTATATCATTGTCAATAAAATGCTACAATTTGGTTAGTTATACTAATGTATTTCAGTTTCATCAATCCACCTACCTGTTTCATAACTGGAAGAGAGTACATCAATTTTCAGAAAAAGAGGAGTACAAATTTCATTTTATTTGTACTCTCTCAAATTGTTAAAAATTACTAAGAGAATACCATTTATATGAATTATTCTCCTTAGCAAACTATCTGTTTAATTATGATCCCTTTCTGAAAGTGACCAGAATCAGCCAAAAGGATCTGAAAGTAGTCAGGCTGAGCTTTGAGTACTAAGACTTACTTTTATAGTGTCATAGGTTTTCCCTTGGTCATTAGAGGAAACAGAATCTTCTTGAGTTAAGGGATATCACAGTAATTTCTTGGTGCATATGAGTATTTTTACTATTTCACTGAGTCTAAAGGTGATTTTTAAAACAATTATAGTAAAACAAATGAGATAAAGTTATGAAATTAAAATATAGATAGGTTAGTAAGAGAGTGAGTAATAACACTTGGATTCTATAAAAAGAGAAAAGCTTAGAACATTGGTGACCAAGTTGTGGAGAATATATAGGAAAAACACCTTGACCAATAATAGAAAGCCTCACTTTTTATCACTTATTTTATAACTTTAATTACTATATTGAAGATAAAAATGAGTGGCCATCCAAAAATTAATGTTTATTAAATCTGTCTTAGGAATGCATTTAAATGACATATCAATTGTGTTTCTTGACCACCAGGGTTTTCAGATTTAATCTTTGTTTAAAAAATTATTTATTCTAATTTATTATATATGACAGCAGAATGCATTTCAATTCATTGTACATATATAGGGCAGAATTTTTTTGTCTCTGGTTGTACACAAAGTAGAGTCACACCATTCATGTCTTCAGATAGGTACTTGTGTAATGATGTCCATCTCCTGCCCCATCCCTCCATCTTCCTCCCCTTTACCCTATCTAAAGTTCCTCCATTCCTCCCATGCTCCCCTACCATCCCCATTATGGATCAGCATCCTCATGTCAGAGAAAACGTTCGGCATTTGGTTTTTTGGGATTGGCGTATATCATTTAGCATTATATTTTCTAACTCCTTCCATTTACCTGCAAATGCCATGATTTTATTCTCTTTTAATTATGAATAATATTCTATTGTCTATATATACCACAGTTTCTTTATCCATTCATATATAAAAGGGCATCTAGATTGGTTCCATGGTTTGGCTATTGTGAATTGTGCTGCTATAAACATCGATGTGGCTGTGTCCCTGTAGTATGCTATTTTAAGTCCTTTGGATATAAACTGAGGAGTGGGATAGCTGGGCCAAATGGTGGTTCCATCACAAGTTTTTCAAGGAATCTCCATACTACTTTCCATATTGGTTTCACCAATTTGTACTCCCACCAACAATATGTGTGTGTTTCCCCCCACAACCTCACCAACACTTATTTTTGTTTGTATTCTTAATAGCTTCCATTCTGACTGGAGTGAGATGAAATTTCAGAGTAGTTTTGGTTTGCATTTCTCTAATTGCTAGAGATGTTGAACATTTTTTCATATATTTGTTGATTGATTGTATATCATCTTCTGAGAAGTGTCTGTTCAGTTCCTTGGCCTGTTTATTGATTGGGTTATTTTGTTTTTTTGGTGTTAAGATTTTTGAGTTCTTGATATATCCTAGAGATTAGTGCTCTACCTGATATGTGTGTGGTAAAAGTTTGTTCCCAAAATGTAGGCTGTCTATTCACCTCACAGTTTTTTTCTTTTGTCGAGAAGAAACTTTTTAGTTTGAACCCATCCCATTTATTGATTCTTGATTTTTTTAATAGAAGTCTTATTAAGGAAGTCAGGGCCTAATCTGACATGATGGAAATTTGGGCCTTTTTCTTCTATTAGGCACAGGGTCTCTGGTTTAATTCCTAGGACCTAGATCCAATTTTCATTGGGTTTTGTCCATAGTTGAGATAAAGGGGCTTAATTTCATTTTGTTGCATATGGATTTCAATTTTTCCCAGCACTATTTTTTGAAGAGGCAATCTTTTCTCCAATGTATGTTTTTGGTACCTTTGTCTTATATAAGATAACTTTAATTATGTGGATTTGTCTCTGGGTCCTCTATTCTGTACCATTGGTCTATAAGTCTATTTTGGTGCCAATACCATGCTGTTTTTGTTACTATTGCTTTGTAGTATAGTTTAAGTTCTGGTATAATGATGCCACTTGCTTCTCTCTTCTTGATAAGGATTTCTTTAGCTGTTGTGAGTCTCTTCTTTTTCCAGATGAATTTCATGATTGCCTTTTCTATTTCTATATGGAATGTCATTAGGATTTTGATTGGAATTGCATTAAATCTGAATAGTGATTTTGGTAGTATGGTTATTTGACAATATTAATTCTCCCTATCCGAGAATAAGACAGATTTTTCCATCATCTAAGGTCTTCTTTAATTTCTTCCTTTAAAATTCTGTAATTTTCATTGTAGAGGTCTTTCACCTCTTTTGTTATGTTGATTCCCAAGTATTTTATTTTATGTTTTTGAGGCTATTGTAAATTGGGTAGTTTTCCTAGTTTCTCTTTCAGAGGATTTATCACTGATGTACAGAAATGCCTTTGACTTATGAGTATCAATTTTATATCAGGCTACTTTGCTGAATTTATTTATTAGTTATGGAAGTTTTCTGGTGGAATTTTTTGGTCTTCTATGTATAGAATCATATCATTGGCAAATAGTGATAACTTGAGATCTTTTTTTCCTATCTGTATCCCTTTAATTTCTTTCTTCTATCTAATTACTCTGGCTAGAGTATCAAGAACTATGTTAAATAGAAGTTGTGAAAGAGGGCATCTCTGTCTTGTTCCAGTTATTAGAGGAAATGCTTTCAATTTTTCTCTATTTAGAATGATGTTGGCCTGAGGCTTAGCATACATAGCTTTTACAATGGGATATGTTCTGATTATTCATAGTTTTTCTAGTGTTTTGAACATGAAGAGTTGTTGTATTTTGTCAAATGCTTTTTATGCATCAATCAAGGTGATCATATGAATTTTATCTTTAAGTCTATTGATGTGATAAATTATACTTATTGATTTCCTTATGTAGAGCCAACATTACATCCCTGGGATGAACCCCATTTGATCATGGGGAACTATCTTTTGATATGTTTTTTTATTCAACTTGACAGAGTTTTATTGAAAAATTTTGCATCTATGTTCATTAGAGATATTAGTCTGAAGTTTTCTTTCTTTGATGTGTCTGTCTTCTTTTGCTACCAGCGTGATGTTAGCCTCATAGAATGAGTTTGGAAATGTTCCCTCTTTTCTATTTTATGAAATAGTTTGAGGAGTATTAGTATTAGTCCTTATTTGAAGGTCTTGTAGAACTCAGCTTTGTATGATTCTGGTCCTGGGCTTGTTTTGGTTGGTAGGCTTCTGATGGCATCTTCTATTTCATTGCTTGAAATTGATCTGTTTAACTTATATATATCATCCTGATTCAGTTTGGTCAAATCATATGACTCTAGAAATTGGTCAATGATTTTGATATTTTCTATTTTATTGAAGTACAAATTTTCAAAATAATTTCTAATTGTCTTCTATATTTCTCTAGTGTTTGTTTTGATATTTCCTTTTTCATCATGGATGTTAATAGTTTGAGTTTTCTCTCTCCTTCTTTTTGTTAGCATGGCTAAGAGTTTGTCAATTTTATATATTTTTTCAAAAAACCAACTTGTTGTTTTGTCAATTTTTTTCTATTGTTTCTTTTGTTTCAATTTCATTGATTTCAGCTCTGATTTTAGTTGTTTCCTGTCTTCTACTGCTTTTGGTTTTGATTTGTTCTTTTATTTTTTTTCTAGGACTTTGAGATATAATGTTATGTCATTTATTTGTTGACTTTTTTTTCTTTGAAGGAATGAACTCCATGCAATGAACTTTACTTTTACTACTGTCTTCATAGTGTCTCAGAGATTTTAATATGTTTTGTCAGCATTCTTAAATTTACCTCTAGAAATTTTTTAATCTCCTCCTTGATGTCTTGTAATCCATTGTTCATTCAGTAGCGTATTCTTTATTCTCCAGGTGTTGGAGTAGTTTTTATTTTTTATTTTATTGTTGATTTCTAATTTCATTCCATTATGATCTGATAGAATGCAGGGTAGAATATCTACTTTTTTGTATTTGCTAAGAGTTGCTTTGTTGCATAATATAGGTTCTATTTTAGAGAAGAATTCATGTGCTGGTGAGAAAAAAGTGTATTTGCTCATTGATGAATGCAATATTCTATATATGTCAGTTAAGTCTAAGTCATTAATTTTTTATTGTGTTCTATAGTTGATTTGTTCAGCTTTGGTTTGGAAGATATGTCCAGAGGTGAAGAGATGTGTTAAAGTTACCCAGAATTATTGTGTTGTGGCCTATTGGACTCTTGAACTTGAGAAGAGTTTGATAATTTTATATTCTCCATTATTTGGGGCATATATATTTATAATTGTTATGTCTTATTAGTGCATGGTTCCCTTGAACAGTATGAAATGTCCTTCTTTATCCCTTTTGACTCACTGTAGCTTGAAGTCTACTTTATTTGATATGAAGGTGGAAACCCTTGCTTGTTTCTGCTGTCCATGTGAGTGTTATGTTTTTTCCCAATCCTCACCTTCAGTCTGTGGATGGATTTTCCTATGAGAGGAATCTCTTGAAGGCAGCATATTGTTGAGTCTTTTTTTTTAAATGCAATCTGTCAGTCTATGTCTTTTGATTGGTGAGTTTAGACCATTAACATCCAGAATTATTATTGAGACATGATTTGTAGTCCCAGTCATATTTATTTATATTTGGTATTTTTGGTATTCATTTTGGTATTTAATTTGACTTGGTTTTTCCTTTGATTAGTATTTTCTTTAGTGTATGCTTCCCTTTGCTGATTTTCATTGTTGTTTTTCATTTCCTCCTCATGGAATATTTTGCCAAGGATGTTTTGTAGTGCAGGCTTTCTAATTGTAAATTCTTTTAACTTTTATTTATTATGGAAGGTTTTTGTTTCATCATCAAATCTAAAGCCTAATTTTGCTGAATATAATAGTCTTGGTTGACATCCATTTTCTTTCAGAGATTGGTATATGTTGTTCCAGGATCTTCTAGCTTTCAGAGTGTGGGTTGAAAAATCTGAAGAGATTCTAAATTTTTCCCCTCATGTGTATTCTGATTCCTTTCTCTTGTGGCTTTTAAAATTCTCTCCTTATTCTATATGCTATGCATTTTCATTGTAATGTGACTTGATATAGATTTGTTGTGATTTTGTACATTTTGTGTCCTGTAAGCCTCTTGTATTTGATTTTCCAATTCATTCTTTATGTTTTGTAATTTTTCTAATTTTTTTCATTGAATAGATTGTTCATTCATTTGGTTTGAAACTCTATGCCTTCCTCAATCCTAATGACCCTTAAATTTGTTCATTTTATGTTGTCCTATAATTCTTGAATGTTCTGCTCATTGTTGCTTACCATCTTCACTGTGTGCTCAGCATTCTTTTCAAGACTATATATTTTGTCTTCATTGTCTGAGGTTCTGTATTCCAAGTGATCTAATCTGTTGGTGATGCTTTTTATTGAACTTTTAATTTGGTTTCTTGTTTCTTTCATTTCAAGGGTTTCTGTTTTTTTTTTCAGAACTTCTATCTCCTTATTAAAGTAACCTTTTGCTTCCTGTATTTGCTTATGCAGCTCTTTATTCAAATGGTGTTTTGCTGCCTGTATTTGCTCTCGTATATTATCATTTCAGAGAACATTTTAATTATGTACACCCTAAACTCCATCTGTCTGGATTCTAATATTGTAATATCTTGGTTTGTGGGGGGCATTTTCTTCCCTTGTTTTCTTCGTGTTGTTTGTGTCTTCCTTTCTAGCACTTTTGTTCTGAAGTGTTACCATTTTTATAGTGTTCCTGCAGGTTTCCAATACCTCTCCTTTAGGGAGAGAAAAATGTGAATAAATCCCCAAACAAACAATATAAAGCCTAAAACAAATAGCTGCTATTAAGATATTTACAGGTTTATCACAATATACTGAAATATATTCAATTATTATCTACAATATAAACAGTAGGTTTGTAAAAGGGTCTATAGTTTCCACTGGTGGACAAAGAACCGGGGTAAGGTGTAGGATGAGACATTGAGGGGGTAGGAATGAGTATATAGAGTTATTAGATTTTAGAAAGCGTGAAAGAGGAATCTAAAGAAGTTGGTTAGTAGCAGAAGAAGAGACAGATGATTAGGGGGAGACAAGGAAGTGGGAAGACAGTAAAATACAGAAAACAAACAAATATATATATATATATATATATATATATATATATATATATAAAGAGAAGTAAAAAAAAGTGTTAGAATAGGAGATAAAAGAATATACAACATTGTTGCCAGCTGGCTGGACTGGTGAGGTGAGCTGGGTTCAAAGCAGCTGACTGTATCAATAACTAAGAAAATGGTGAAGAAACCACGCAACAAAAGAAAATGAGTTTCTAAGGTGGAGGGCAGGACTGCGTGGTGACCCCAAGGGTCAGTTCCATGCTGAGCAGCACTGGAAAGAGAGAATGTGCACCTGGATTCTTTTTATTTTATAGGGGGGACTCACAAGGGAGGGTTGATGGAATGTTCTTCACCAAATAAGGCAGGGAATCGGGTTTTGCAGGTGAAGTCTTTGTGATGTCTTGTAGGCAGGAGATTGATTGACATCTTGGCTAGTCAAACCTATCTCAGGTGCTGTGTGAGATTACAGGCAGAACCAGAGGAAAGGCGCTCTTATGTCGCACAGCCCAATTAGCACCCAATACCAGACCAGTGCCCTCGTATACTCACATGCTCATGGCTCACACACACAGATCATGGATGGCTTGCAACACAACAGCACTGTAATATACTATTCAGATATCCCAGTCCTCAGTAGTCTAATTCATGAAAAGTTTTACAAATATTGGGGATGTGATGTCAGGAGAAGAGAGAGAGAAAAAAATATCTAAGGAAGATAGAAGTGATGAAGTGATGGCAGGAGAAGAGAGAGAGAGAGAGAGAGAGAGAGAGAGAGAGAGAGACAGAGAGAGAGAGAGAGAATGAATATCTAAGGAAGGTAGAAGGATTGTTTCTGCTGGAGGTCAGTACTTTTCCAGCTTCCCTTCTCATCCAATAGGAAGGGTTGTCAGTTGTTAGCTGGTATCTCCACCCTAACAATGATGAAAGTTATTAGGGTGAGAGGGTTGGCCTAAGGATCTCCTTTGGGGCCTGATTTGTGATGTGGGCGCTTGGTTTTATCTCCTTACATTACCTGTAGATCTTGTAAATCCAGGTCTCCAATTTAGTCTCTAAACTGTATCTCACCTTTTCCCTCCCTTTCTACTTTCCAATCAGGAACATTTCTCTCCAGAGGTCTTATGGACTGAGTCTGGGAGCTGCACACCCGTCATGGAGAGCTGTTTTATATTGGGCAGCTCAGATGACAGTTTTGTGACCCAGCTTTCTGAGCTAGGGACTGGCTGCATGGCTACAGGTGCTGTGCCAGGTTAGAGGCTGCCAGGGAGGAGGGAAGTTGAGAACTTTCAGTACCTTATAATGCTTACAAGCCCCAGCCAGTGTTCCAAGCTGGGTGTTGCCCCAGTGAAAAATGGCGACAAAGGTGTCCCAAGATGGAGGCAGCTTCTTTCAGCCATGGGGTGTGAGGTGGGGATGGGGGGCTGGGCTGAGGTGTTGAGTGGTGTGTTCAGAGATGCAGCTCTGTGGCCTGCAGTATTGTGACTGGTGAAAGTCTCTGGACCCAGTGCAGTGTCCCCAGGTGCAGGCTACTGTGTGTAGGGAACTGTGGCAGTAGTTCAATGTCCCGAGTTGGAAGTGACCAGAGGACCCCCATGTTGGTAGACTGGGGTCCACACGTGAGTGGCGGCTGGAATTCCTGGACGTGGGCAGCGGCTGGGAATCCTGCATGGGTGGGTGGCCAGCAGTCTCTGTGCTGGTGCTGATGGTGGTGGACCTACTTGGGCACCAGAGGACCTGTGTGGATGAGTGGCTGGGAGTCCTGTGCTGACGCTGAGGCCTGGAGACCTGAGTGGCACAGCAGCCATGTTTCCTGCATGGAAGCAGCTTTTGGGGGGTCCTCTAATCACTCACAGAGAAACAGTATTCCCTCTTTTTGAATTCCAGGTCCAAGGCAACACAGAATGCAGCGTCTCTCTAGCCCACCATCTCGGATCCCCTCCAGATTTAGTCTTAAAGATGTCAAATACCTTCTCTGTCTTAAAGAACCTAGTTTAAGAGTAGGCACAATTAGTAAGCTTTTGAGATCTCATTGTGGTATTTTTCCTCTAGAAATAAGTTCCTACAAAGACTTGTAGAATCGGTGTTTTTTTTTTCAAACCAAATAATTTAAGGGTAATAGAATAGACTTGTACTGTTAAAAATGTGAAACATTCACAAATTTTGCATCATGCATGGTTCTAGTCTATTCTAAAAACATTCTACAAAACACATTGAAAATCAAATTGCAGGGGCTGGGGATGTGGCTCAAGCGGTAGCGCGCTCGCCTGGCATGCGTGTGGCCCGGGTTAGATCCTCAGCACCACATACAAACAAAGATGTTGTGTCCGCTGAAAACTAAAAAAATAAATATTAAAAAAAAATTCTCCCCCCCCACTCTCTCTTTTTTAAAAAAAGAGAAAATCAAGTTGCAGAGAATAATTAAGAGTTGTAACATAGTGTTTATCTTCCTATCTATCTAGGAATCATTTTTCCCTCAATTTAAGTATTTATTGGTTAACACAAGCAAAAATAAGTGTTGGCGAGTCTGTGGGGAAAGGTACATTCAGACATTGCTGGTGGGACTGAAAATTGGTAAAACCAATATGGTGATTCCTTGGAAAACTTGGGATGGAACCATCATTTGGCCCAGCTATCTCACTCCTCAGTTTATACCCAAAAGACTTAAAATCAGCATACTACAGTGACGTGGCCACATCAATGTTTATAGCAGCTCAATTCACAATAGCCAAACTATGGAACCAAACTAGATGCCCTTTAACAGATGAATGGATGAAGAAAGTGGGTATATATACAAAATAGAATATGACTCAGCTTTAAAGAAAAATGAAATTATGGCATTTGCTGGTAAATGGTTGAAGTGGGAGAATATCATACTAAGTGAAATAAACTAATCCCATAAAACCAAAGGGTGAATGTTTTCTCTGATAAGTGAATGCTGATCCATAATGGGGTCAGGGAACATAGAAGAGTGGAGGAACTTTGAATTGGGCAGAGGAGAGTGAGTGAGGGGAGGGGTGTGAAGGCTGGAAGGATGATGGAATGAGATGGACATTAGTACTGTAGATACATGTATGTATCCCACAACTTGTGTGACTCTGGATCATGTACAGTCAGAGGAGTGAAAAGTTGTGCTCCATATGTGTACACTGTGTTAAAGTGCATTCTGCTGTCATGTATAACTAATTAGAACAAATAAAAAATGATAAAAGTAAGATATTATTTTTAAAAATGTCTTGGTTTATATAAACCCATAGATTATCCATTGGATCCACATAATTTCCATGAGAAATATATATTAATGGCCAGTGATGCCTATTATTAGTAAAAAGATGCTGATGAAGTTAAATCATGTGTATGTATATGCATTTATACAAAGACATAAAATAACCATATGAAAACCAAATATAGTCATTGCTGGTAAGTACAATTTAGGTATGCAGGTTAGATGGAAATATATAACACTTAGTTTTTTAAATGATTAACAAAAGTTGTTACAACTCCATCTGAAATAAAATTCTTTGATTTTAATAGTTTCTGTTCTACAAACTTCCCAAGAGTTTTAAAGGAAATAAAAAAATGTATGCATTCCGTAGTGTTATTATTTACAATGGGGATCTTGATAGTCTGTGATATTCATCCTGTGCTCTAGTCAAGGAAAGGTACTATGTCCTCTCCCTAGAACTTGAAACCCGCCTACTCAGCCTTCTCATTGCCAATTTCATATCTTTATTTCTTAAAGTGTAGATGACAGGATTTAAGACAGGGGTGACAACAAAGTCCACAATAGCAAAAAAATTATCCAATGACCTAGTGGGGAAAGGCCACACATAGAGAAACATGCATGGAACAAAAAACATCACTACTACAGTGATGTGAGCTGACAAGGTGAAGAAGGCTTTGGATAAATCATTTGAAGAATGTTGTTGGACAGTGACCAGAATAAAGATGTAGGAAATAATTAAGAAAAAGAAGGTGCCCATAGATATAAAGCCACTGTTGGCAGTGACTACAAATTCTAGTCTATAAGTGTCCATGCATGCAAGTTTAATAACCCTAGGCAAATCACAATAAAAACTCCCCACATTATTGGGGCCACAGAAGGGTAAATTTATGACAAAAACAAACTGAGATACAGCATGAATCACTCCAGTGACCCAAGAAGCTATTACCAAAAGTGTGCATGTTTTGGAGTTCATAATGGTTAGGTAATGCAGAGGCTTGCAGATGGCTGTGTACCTGTCATATGCCATGGCTATGAGCAGCACCATCTCCACTCCCCCCGTGACATGGATAAAGAACATCTGTATCATGCAATCTTGGAAGGAAATGACTTTATAGTCAGTGAAAAGATCAGAGATCATCCTAGGAACTGTGGTAGATGAAAGGCCTAAGTCAATGAGTGATAGGTTGGCCAGAAATATATACATGGGGGAGTGTAAGTGAGGATCAAAAATCACTGTGAACACTATGAAGAGGTTTCCCAGAATAATTCCCATGTAAAATAAAGAAAAGACAAGAAGAAGGAAAAACTGCATTCCCAAGGATTGTGCAAGTCCTAGTAATACAAATTCAGTTATCACAGAGGCATTTACTTGGTCCATTGAATCAGAAAGAAGGGAAGACAATGAAATGACCTGAAAGAAAAGAAGGAATCAACTTAGAGGCACTAAAAATAATGTGTTAAAAGTTGATAATTTTAATTTGATTACTAACAAAATTTTTATTTAGTTGATAGTAGACCATTTACAAAATAATGGGAACCCATGGTATAAAAGATTTATGTAGCACAGACAAGACTGCACTTAGAGCAAATTTATTGTTGTTAATGCTTTTATTTGCTCAAATTCATAAACTTCTCAGTTAATTTAAGAAACTGGAAAGAAGCCATGTGTGGTTGTTTAGCCTGTAATTCTAGCAACTCCGGAGGTTGAAATAGAAGGATTACAAGTTTGAAGCTGGCCTTGGAAATTTATCAAGACCCTGTCTCAAAATAAAAAAATAAAAATGGCTGCACATGTAGCTCAGAAGTAGAGTTCTTCTGACTTCAATTCCTAGTACTGAAGGAGGAGAAAAACAAATAGGTTGAAAAAATGCATAAAACAAACTCAAGAAATTCAGGAAAAAGAAAAGAATAGTTTGAAAATAAATAATGAATAAATATAGAGTCCCAAATAATTGGAAGATTGTATATGAACACATAAAAATGGTTTTCAAAAATTGAAAAATAAACACATTTTTAAAATATCACAATAATGATAAATTTAATTGAAAATTACACATTAGAACATAATTGCATAATAATAGCTAAGACATTTCTAAAAACTGATTTCTGCCTATATCTGAAATAATGTACCTGAAGCCAACTCATGAGTCATTCTGTACTTGAATTTGAATTCTATAAAGAGACAAAATGTTGGATCTTCACAATATGAAAAAGAGTTAAAACCATTCAAGAGAACATAAAAAAATCTAATAAATAAATGAGCAAATGATGTAAAGAGAAAATTTAGAAACTTAAGCTTTGAATATATACATATATGCACATATATAGTACATATATATACATATATTTGTGTATGTGTATCTTATAAGTCAAAGAATATGATAAAATGCAATACTATTATTTTCTTATTAAATTAGAAAAAAAGGCTTACAATTATTATTATCAAGACTGTCAAAGGCTCAGTGAGATAGGCACTTTATACATTGTTGGAGGAGATAAAGACTGATTTAAACCTTGAAGAAAATTTTGAAATAAGTTATCAAGAATGTTGATCCATATTTATTTGATGCAATACTATTTCTTTTGGAATTCTACTTATACAGAAGTTGTCTTCAAGACAAAAATGTTCATTGTACTTTATTGATAGTGGTAAAAGCTTGTATCAATTTAAATACCAAACACTAGGTTTAAGTATATTATAATATATTTACATAATGAACTGTAATACATCTAAGTATTGACAGAAGAATTTACAGTAGCATCAGGAAGACTGCTCTAATACATTAAGTACAGTAAAGATAAACAAATTTCATGGTCCAACTTTTCAAATAACAGTAATTGCTTCTGATTGTTTAAGAATTTTAAAGTCTGCTTTTAGATTTTGAAATGTTTTCCAGTGATTATATTATATTCATGTTAGTTTTTTTCTTCAAACACATCCAATGGCAAGGGAAGATGAAGGAATGAATGGTTTATCAAAAATGCTTGAAAACCAGAATTGACTCAGAAGAGGACAAACTGACTGAAGAATAAAGGATTCTAATACCTCATTATATGAAACCGCATTTTTCATAGTCAAGATTATCTAGTGTGTAGATATAGTTAAATAAGTTAAGGGTTTTGTTTAAACTTCTTAAACCTTCTTGGAACATTCACTAGAAAAACCTCTCCTCTGCTTTACTTTGACTAGGGTTGGCCATTCTGAATAACTTCTGGTAATAATGAAATAAATAGAAGGAAAATGGATATTCCAGTACTCTTATCAAGTTGAGAGTGAAGAAAGCTAGTGATGTTGCAGTGGGGATATTAAGAGAGACACATTAACTTGTCAAAGAAATGGAGGCAGTAAGGTGCAATGGAATAAGAAGAGATAATCTTTTAGTAAGAATATGACATATGGAAACAAATTGATTTGATTTTTTTCTTATTTCTACAATATACAATTATTTTTGTGGCCTCTCAATTTCTGCATTGTTTCCTATCTTCTCCCACCTAGTTTTTCTCCTAAATTCTCTTTCTAGCGTTTTCTCATTGTATTATGTACATTTAAAAGCTATGCTTAACACTTTCAGTTCATTCATA